GGGCAATATGCTGACTCTGTAAACCGCTTAGAGAGGCCTGAAAGCCCTATGAAGCAGTATATAAGTCTAACTGCTATTGCTATTGCTATTGCTAACAGGCTGGTTTTCACACCTCTGGCCTCTGTCAAACCCTCCCCCTTGGTTCATCTCTATTGTCTACATGACAATTGCCTAATTCCTCTCCCCCCACCCAACAGTTTATGGCAGATGCCACAAAAGTGTTAAGCTGAAGATGGCAGATCTGACAGTAACATACCCTCTTAGAAATCTGGTGCGCAATTTGGAGGTCCTCTTAGATTCATGGCTCCTGCTAGAAGAGCAGATGGTGGCTGTGGCCAAGACAATCTTTGCACAAATGTGTGCTAACTCCACTCATTCCTGGATCACGAGCCCTTGCACACAGTCACCTGCTACCTCCTGCTTGGATTACTGCAATGCTGTAAATGGGGCTTGAAGACATATGGGAGCTGTAACTATTAGTTTTGGGTGCTACTGCGATGAGAGCTGCACTGTCTTCCTTTTTCTACCCAGATGCAATTCAAGGCTCTACGTTTCACCTTTAAAACCCGACATGAACCCTTGTGGGTTCACCACTCCCTTGAGGATACCTGCCCTGTCCTACTAGGTTAGACAGAGTGGATGTGCTCTAGGTCCTCTTCCTTAATTGTTGTCATCTGGTAGGACCTCGGCAGAGCATCTTTCTAGTGACTGTCCCAGCAGTACAGCCCACCTCACTTGAAATCAGGGGGATCCTGCCCCTTTTAGTCTTCTGGAGGGCTATGAAAAAAGGGTTCTTCTCCCAAATATAAAGCTAGGGTGGGAGTTGAGCTGTGGGAATGTATGGTCTGATGTCATATTGGAGAGGAGGTACCTTTGTCTTTAACCATGATATAAATCATAGTTTCAGTTGTCAGCCACTTAGAGTTATTGTATGAGTTAGGTAGCCATATAATCAGAGGTGGGTTCCTACCAGTTCGCACCAGTTCGGTAGAACCAGTTTGTCAAATCTACCGAACTGGTTAGAAGAGATTCCACCAGTGGACCCGGAAAGCAGGCCACACCTACAGAAAAGGTTCCAAAAATTTTTGAAACCCACCACTGCATATAATCATGAAAATAAGTAAAATAAAACAAATAAACTAACAAAATAAAATATAAATGGCAGAGGTATTTTTTTTAAAAGATCATTTGTTGCTTTGGATGATGAATATAGACCTGCTCTGTATAGTGTTAAAATGTGTTCAGTGCTGTTGCCAAAGTGAGAGTGGTGAGCCCTTCCAGTTAGACCAAAGGTGAACACAAAGTCACGAATACTGAAACTATTTTTATTATAGGATTACTGTAACTGAATCACGCAACTCTGAATGGCTTCTTCTTTATCCTAAACGAAATTAGGGAGGTTCAAACCTGAGATGTTTTCTCAACTTACATTCCTGGTTTGGGCTGAGAGGTCTCTTATCTGAGTGTCGCAACTCTTCCTCCTCTATCATTTTCTAAGTAGATACTCAACAGTAACCATCATTTTCTCATGAAAATTTAGCTTTGGCATACAGGGAAGATCACTGTAGTCTATTGTTAATTTATATAATAAATTATAGGACAAAGGTAGACTGAAAAATAGAATTGGAGCATACATTGTTTGGTGAATTAGTTTGGAAAGGTTTATTATATTTCATGTTCCATTTTACTAATGTACCTGAAAGGTCTGGCTTATGGGAAAAGGCAGGACTGAGAAAAAGCCTCTGTTGCTCCCCATTCATTTGCTGGCTCTTCTCTCTGTTGGAGAGAGGGTGATCTAGGACTTCTCCTATTCCAGAAGAAGCCTAAGAGTGACAGAAGATGTCCTCCCACTATTGATGAAGATGTTGGAGTCTAGACACCGGTTTCTGCATGGTTTCCCCAGCCTGTTCTTTTAATGGAATGCATCTTTGGGGTACAGCTATGTTGGTATAGTGTGTTTACTTAGGTCAGTGGTGGGTTTCTGCTGGTTCGCACCGGATTGGGAGAACCGGATGGTGAAATGGACCCGGAAGTAACTTCCGGAATGCCTGCCCAAGCCCTGTCGCTCCACACTCACCCTTGCCCGCTGGAGAGGTCCAGCGGCACAATCCACCAGGCAGCAGAGGCAAGCTCAGGAGTTTTCTCCTGGATTCCCCTCTGTCTTGCCTCCTCCGATCTCCCAAAGTTTTTTCCCCAACGTGTGATAGCTTCCTACTGGATTCCCCTCTGTCTTGCCTCCACTGATCTCCCAAAGTTTTTTCCCCAGCGTGTGATAGCTTTCTTCTTGCCGTGGCTGAGAGGAAGGAAAACCCCCAGGCCAGACAAGAGAGCTGCAACTCTCCCCAACCTCACAGGGTGCTCCTCTTTGCTTCTTCCCTGCTTCAGGGTGGCTTAGGCTACCTTCAGAGCCCACTAACAGGAAGAATTCAGCACAGGGAACATGGAGATCCATTCCTCTGTGTCTGTATTGCAGCGACGTCAAACCAGAAGTCCAGTATGAAATCTTGATGATACAACAACACTACAACAACACTACATGCTTTTATGTACCTAAGTCAGTGGTGGGTTTCAAATTTTCTTAGAACCTATTCTGTGGGTGTGGCCTATTTTGTGGGCGTGGCTTGTCAGTCATGTGACCGGGCAGGTATGGCCAACTTGCCATCACTTATGCACACTCAGTCACATGACCACCACCCCAACCCATGTGGCAAAATTTTTTGGAACTCCTATGAAAGGGGGGGAGAGGGGAAAACCTCCCAAAAATAGACAACTGGATGATTAAGGGCCGAAATTAGGGAGATCGGAGAAGGCAGGACAGAGAGGAATCCAGTAGAAAGCTATCACACATTGGGGAAAGAACTTTGGGAGATCAGTGGAGGCAAGACAGAGGGGAATCCAGTAGAAAGCTATCACACATTGGGGAAAGAACTTTGGGAGATCAGTGGAGGCAAGACAGAGGGGAATCCAGTAGAAAGCTATCACACATTGGGGAAAGAACTTTGGGAGATCAGT